TAAACTTACTTTAAAAAATCTTTATTTGTTATACTATTTAGAATATACATTGGTATTCACAATTTCTGAAATTTTGTTTTCCTAGTATGATAATGGCATATAACTAAGTTTTCTGTACTATATCTTTTCAAAGTACTAATTATTTTTTTTTTCTCAAAGAAGATATACGAGCTTAATAAATATATAACAGTAATATTATTCTGTTTTTCTACCACACGTATTTTTGTATAGAAATAATATAAAGGAAAACTACTACTTAGAAGTGAGTTCAGTTTAAACATATTTCCGTATTTCATAATAGTTTCGTTTTCCGTCCCTAGATGGACGTACAAAATGTTCGTATATAACAACATTTTGGGACATTTCATTGGACAAACATGATATCTGACAAAACAATTTCGCTAAAAATAAATAAATAAAGAAATAATTATCTAAATTAATATTACAGATATCAAGCAGTTGAAGTCTTTACGCAACTGACAGATCTGTGTACATGTTATTGATGTTTGAGTTTAATAACACCAGAGTCTTAATTTTCAAAACAATACATTATATAGTAGTCTTCTTTCCTTGAAATCTTCAGTAGCATGAATGGATTTTCGACTCTACCGCCATATGTGAGTATTGTTTTTGTTCGTGTTATTTAATTCAGTGGTGCTACTTTTTCTATATTTAACTCGGGTTTCGTACTTAGTCGGGTTCTTTGGACCTAGTGTATTTTTTTTTCTCCTGTGTTGGTGTTGGTGTCTTTCTGGACATTCGTGGTGGGAGAACGACACTATACCGGATACCAATGAACTACAGTGCAGACCAAGATCTGTCCGTTTTGTTGTGTTGTTACCCTCTCTGCCTACTCACATTACCAGTTCTTTGAAAACTGAACTCGGTAATAGTTTGCTTGTTTGTCTCCAATATTTGGGGACTGGTAAATATGTCGCCACGTTCTCAAGTGCGGATATAACTCAGACGCTCCTAGGACGAGGCCGTTTTCTTCATCAGAATGAAGCATTTTCTATATCTCCAGCAGGTTCCAACATGAAATGGCTTACTATTTGTATAGCACTCTGTGAACTCTGCAGTGATGCAATTGTATCTGCTCTTATGGTCTTACGCCCGTGTCCTTCACATCAAAGATGCACATTATTCATGTCATCCTGATATCCTCACTGGCTCTCAACGTGTGTGCATGGGTATGTCTTCCCCCGTCCCAACTTTCTTTGTGTTGAGCGATATACTCTCATAGTTAATTATGCAGGTATGATATGTTTGTGTAGACGTTGTGGTCAGGAGAGGCATCTCTCAGCCAACTGTGTTACGCCAAGATGTGTGAGGTGTTCTTCATTTGGACATGATGCAACTAACAGTGCTGTTTTGTGCACTATGTGCAACGGTAAACACAGGGTGAAACTTTGTCCTCAGTGAATGTCAATATGTGCTGGCCGAACCAGTATTAACCCTTCTACATCCATCAGTGAAGAATAGCCTTCTTCCCCAGTAACTGCTTCCCTATGTGCTCCTGACAGGGTGCCAATGGCAGTTGATCATGGGTGTGGTGACCCCGGGTTGATTGAAGTACCAACAGATAGTAAGGAGCCTATTACTGTTCTTGTTTTATCCCCACCCCTTCTGTGGAGCCTCTACCTGAGGGGGAATGCTGTGGTCAAGTTGGTGTGCTTCCTGCTGTGGAGTCACCTCTTCATCAGTCTTCTGTAGGGGTTCCCCTTCTGACACTACTGACTCAGCGGTGCCAGTTTTGCCCAATTGTCCAATGCCCTCTACTTCCTCCAGGACAGGTTTGGACGATGATGGTTCCGTATTCCCTTCTCAGTCTGGTGAAGTGGTTTCCCCTTCCTGTTCAGTTTTGCGTCCAGGAACATTCAGAAATCTCACCTCCCAGTAGCTGTACCTCCTCTCTGTTCTGCAGGACATAGTCGCCTCCTGATACTGTGGCTTCCCGGACTCATTCAGCTGTGGATGTCAACATAGCCAACCCATCCTTGATGCAGAAGAGGGCTTTGTCTACGTCTTCACCTGATGTCTACATAGTGCCCAAAAGTAAAAAAACTGTAATGTTTGTTCGTGTTTGTCTTCGTTGTTATATATATATATATAATTTATTAATTAACGCATCTGACATTTGCGAGAGGCTGGTAGAGGTTACACTAAAGGAATTCTGGATCTTTTGCTTAACTTTGCCCTCGGTGGCTCAGCGGTAAGTCTGAAGGCTTATAACGCTAAAACTGGGGCACAACACAGATAGTCCACTGTGTAACTTTATGCTTAACAACAAAATAAACAAACATCGTTTACCTACTTGCCTGGTGAAAAGAGATTATTTAACTTATTATTTTATGAGAGAATTAAAATCATATGAAAAACAAACTTAATTTTAATTTCGATATTGATAATCTTACTCAGCTAGAAGCTTGTTTTAAAATATATTGTATGACTATTACTGTAAATTCTAATTTTATGTGGCATACATATATTGTATAGTCATTAACATAATTTGTATGTTCTCTGAATGCACAATCTATCTTGGAGATGTTCAGTATTTCAACGCAAGGAATAGGGTAAAAATACTTATTGAAAGTTTGTTGGTTTGAGAGGGGCTCGGCATGGCCAGGTGGTTAGGGCAGACGACACATGAAAATAGAGATGCATGAACATGGTATTTGTACTTGTTTGTCTTGTGCCAAGGAAGATTAAATTGATATAGACAAAACGTTCGATGTTTGTATCTGTCACATCGTCTTGGATGAAGATTTCGTTCTTCAGATACTTGGTTTCTCTCTTGGAAGAAGAACGATAGGGAACATTAAGTGTTCATGAGAGGAATTTCCTGGCAAAGAACTTATCTATATTATAGTCAACACAGTAAAACAAACAAGGCTAGTCATGTCAGATAAGGAAGCATATAACTTGTACACCTTTTTACGATATCGATAAACACCTAAGATAGAAAAATGTGAATAAATCATAACTAAAAAAAACTCGGTAACCCTAGCGTCACTGAGAAGACTTTTTTTTTACTGTGATATATTCATTATTATTTCTTGTAGAAACGAGAAGTGATGTTGCTTTGTAGTTTTTAGTTTGTATTCCGGCGTCTAATGTTAGTTTTTTGTATGTATGTGCTTACTTGAATGCTTTTAAATTTCAAACTTTCTTCGACTTTTAGACAAACATTCGATCTAAGTGCAAGTAGATTAGCATACTATATACATTTGTGTGTGTGTGTTTTACAGATTTATTTAAAAGAGAATCTGTGACGTCGAGGCCTAAAGCTTACTACTGAAATATGGTAACTGCTATAAATAAAAATACGTAATTTCTCAATTCATTCGTTTTAATTTTAATACAATGATTATACGTCTTAAGTTGAAATATCCAAAAGACCGATAGAAATATAAACAAACATGATTCTAAACTAAGGATATTTTTAAAACAATTATTGGTTTACTCAATAAACTTCACAGTTTCTTGAATTTAATTTTTTCAACCACATTCATGAGGATGACGTTGAAACATGTAGAGTCGTCAACTTTTTGAAGGCCATAGATAGGCCTAAATAAAATGTTTTTAATTGTGTACCAGTTTAACGTTGAATATTTTTTTTATGATTTTAACAAAATCTAATGTTAAGAGATCTGTTTTGCTCAAGTCTTATCGTTAGTTCTCAAAACTCGTATAGAGATTAATACATCATTAAAATTTTCTGATACTCAATGCAGTAACAAATATAATACAAGTTGAATGACGTTAGATGTCATTAATTCACTAACATATTACAATTGTTCATGTATATATATACTGTATGCAAGTGAGAATTTATTGGCATTAACATATTTTGTTAACGTGTATACATTGTTACATAAAGCTTATCAAATTACCGCGTCAAATTGTGGTAGGGATCAAGCACGAGCTACTAGTTAATGTCTGAGGTACTTGACCTTACAAAAACTGTTTTTTAATGAATTTAAGATTTGTTATTGAGGCATGTGATGTTAATTTGATGGTATTTTTATACGTCTGCGTAGTTTCTTAATATTTTGAGAATTTAACAAACTAATACCTATTTCGTTACAGGGTTTAAAAGGGGGTAACTGTTCGTGTTCTTCACACTCAAATACTAAGTAATAAAAGGTTATTACTTCCGGAAATTAATATGTATTGTCCAATAGTTTTTGAATATAATCCATTTTATGCACAAAATAAAATATTGAGTGATCCGCAATGTCACAACTTTCTGTACAAATGACTAAACTTTTTCGATCTTCTCCGTGGCACAGCTACGTCTATATTTCCAGTTTTCTGAAGATTTTCCAAACCACGTTTTTGTAAAAAGAGCCTGAATTATTATTGTTCGACTAACCAATTTTTGCTTTCCCTGTCACAAGTCAAGCTTCCTCAGTTGACTGACTATACCTGTTGACGCATTACTACCTAATAACGGTGAAACCAGTCTAGAGAGTCGTAAACCACTTGAAATACATAGCATGTTTTGAGTTATTTTAATTGGGGACACCCTCTGGTGTTCGGTTGATTTGAAAATGCTTGCAGATCTAGTTGCATTTGTTTGTTTTAAGGCCGAAACAATAAACAATCAATCAGCGTAAACACAGAAACACCACTACTAAGCAAAATCGTTTTCGTCATCTTCTTGATTTATTTAGGTTTCGGTTCTTTGGTCTATATTGCCAGCTACCGTGACGAAGCGGTTTGGTTGAGGATGAGAAAAAAATAGCTTTTACCCTAACAGTCGCTGAGAGTATTCTTAAAGATTCATCCCTAATGTCTACATCTTTTCATTCAAACTGCATAAGACGTGTCACTCGTTGTTCTGTAATTGGGCGGATAGCAATCAAAGTCGGTGAAGCATAATTTAATTTTGGTGCATTCTATATAGATAACGTTTTTTTGTTTTTTTTTAATAGTTGAATATGAAATTGGTAAGTTTGATTGCCTTAGTTTTGGCGGTTTTGGTATCAATGCGTGTAATGTCGCAGCGTCTGTCATTCCCTTTCGGCCCCAAGCGCCGAGTGTTACCTGGACAACGTGGGGATGACTGTACAGACTGTGTAGCAGACTTCAAAGATTGTGTACAAGAATGTTTGCGTGAATACGACTGTACAACTAAGAAAACTAAAGGTAAGTTTATCATTGTTACTACACCTACTAAAGTAGAACATTGATTGTAACATATCTAATGAGGTTTATTTGTAGTCTGTGTTTGTGTGTTGTATTTGTTAACGTTTTAATGATGTCAAATTGGTCCTGAACACGGGTTCCGACTAACTATAGGTAAGTTTATCATTGTTACTACACCTACTAAAGTAGAACATTGATTGTAACATATCTAATGAGGTTTATTTGTAGTCTGTGTCTATGTTTGT